TTATTCTTGCATTCATATTGGGCTTCTTTAACGAATTGGGCCGCCGCAAGGCTTCTCTGCGAACTGGGCTTCAGCTGTGAAATGGGCTTCAGCTGTGAACTGGGCTTCTCTACCAATTTTCTTAGACTTCGGGCCCGATTGTGACATCGATGCAGTCCGAATCTATCAAAACTCAAAACATGAAAGTTGTAGCATTTTTCCTTATCTTTCCAATGCATCTTTAATCTTTTCAATTGGAATCAGGATGGGAGAGTTATTCCCAAATTATCTTGCGGTGCCGAAACTATGTAAAATTACCCAATTAGCCTTGGTTTTCTCCTAACGCCTTCTTTCGTGCCCTAAATCAAAATACAATAATAGTGAGTCCAATTAAGTAGTAATTAAGTATAAAAGGCTGAATGTTGAGGGATAGAAATATGATAATTTTTGGTCTCATCAGTTGACAAGGGGATGAACGCAACTGCTTAATCTTGAAATGATTGCAAAGGTCTATGACTTCCTTTCCAACAAAATTCTTTCCATTATTTGAGATGATCTCGCAAGGTGCTCCATATCTGGCAATCATGGTGCTCTTGACGAATTGCACTGTCTTGGTCATTGTTGGGCGGGCTATGGACATTGCTTCTACCCACTTAGTGAAATAATCAATAGCGACTAAGATGAAATTATTCCCATTCATTGCAGGTTGCAATGGATCGACCATGTCTATTCCCCATACTGAGAAAGGTGAAGGTGTAGTGAAACAATATAGCTCTAAGGGAGGTGCATTTATCTTTCAATCTGACTTGACAAGCATGATATTTTTGCACATGTAGACGACAATCCTCATCCATTATCATCCAATAAAATCCCATTCGGAGCAACTTTTTTGCCAACAAATGTCCATTGATGTGTGGGCCACATATGCCACCGTGTACCTCCTCCATCTTTCTTTGTGTATTCTAGTGATTTCTTTTGCACGTCTTTTGCTTTCTTTTGAAGTTTTCTTATTTTTTGGCTCCTATAATTGATTTGTTTTTTTCTTCCTTATTTCTACCGTTTGCTCAACTAAGTTTTTAAAGTTTTAATTTTGAGATTCATGAGATTTGTTGATCTTGATTCTGTTAAGAACATAAAGGGACTAGCTTGAGTGAAAAAAAAAAGGCAAAGAGAGGTGAGGAACAAAACTTCTTTTATTTCCAATGAGTTTTTGCAGGTTATAAACATGAGTATTGAAGGAGAACCACAAGAAATTGACATGAAATTATTCATAAGGGCTGTTAATGAACAATTTAGAAAGTTGAATGCGAGGCTGGATGATTTGCAATCCCATCTATGTCTAAGTCCACTAGAAGACGTGTGTTTGAGGAAGAAGAGGAAGATGATTCGGATTTGGAGGAATCAAGTTTTAAACGAGGCAAGAAGATTGTTTCCAAAAGAGATAGCAGTTTGGGCAGCATAAAGATGAAGATCCTGACCTTTCAAGGAAAAAATGATCCCGAACTATACTTAGAGTGGGAAAAAAAAGGTTGAGCACGTATTTGATTGCCATGATTTTTCCGAGGAGAAGAAAGTAAAACTAGTAGCCACGGAGTTCACAGATTATGCAAGCATATGGTGGGATCAATTGGTGATTAATAGGCATAGGAATGGAGAGAGGCCAATTCGGTCATGGGAAGAGATGAAATTGGTAATGCACAAAAGATTTATACCTAGCCATTACTATAGAGATTTGCATAGAAAGTTGCAGGGGCTGGTTCAAGGTTCCATGAGTGTAGAGGACTATTACAAAGAGATGGAGATAGTCATGATTAGAGCAAACATAGAGGAGGTCCAAGAAGCAACAATGGCTAGACTTATTGGCGGCTTGAACAAGGACATTGCTGATGTGGTGGATTTACAACACTATGTGGAGATGGAATAGTTGTTGCACAAAGCCATTAAAGTGGAGAAGCAAATMAAATCAAAAGGGTTCAGATCTAGTTCTTCATGGAAACCTAATTGGAAGGACAACAAGGCTGTCTCAAAAACAAAAGAGGAAGCAAAGCAAAAGGATTCGGGTGTTGTTCATAAAGGTAAAACCGAAGCTAAAACTTCTTCTAAGTCACGTGATGTTAAGTGTTTTAGGTGCCAAGGATTCGGGCATATTGCTTCTCAATGCCCAAACAAAAGAGTTATGATTGTGTTGGAGAATGGAGAAATAGAAAGTGCTAGCTCAAGTGAGGATGAGATGCCACCATTGGAGGATTGTTCTAATGTTGAAGTTGCATAACCCGTTCATGGTGATTTGCTGGTTACAAGGAGAGCCCTAAGTATACAGCCTAAGGATGATGGTGATGAGAAGCAACGTGAGCATATTTTTCACACAAGATTCCATGTGAAGGATAAGGTATGTACTATGATTATTGATAGTGGAAGTTGTACTAATGTTGCTAGTACGTTGTTGGTAGATAAGTTGAATTTGCATACCAATTAGCATCCTAAACTGTACAAATTGCAATGGCTGAATGAATGTGGAGAAGTGAGGGTAACTAAGCAAGTTCTAGTTTTCTTTTCAATTGGAAAGTATGAGGATGAGGTTCTATGTGATGTAGCCCCAATGCATACTGGTCATATATTGCTTGGCCGACCATGGCAGTTTGATAGGAAGGTTACACATGATGGGTATTAAAATCGTTATTCTTTTGTAATGAATAACTGTATTGTTGTACTAACCCCTCTCAAACCTTTGCAAGCTTATGAAGATCAGATTAGGATAGCAAGAGAGTGCAAAATGAGAGAACAACAAAAGTGTGAGCGAGAGGAAAAGAAAAAGAAAGAAAGTGAACAAGCTAAAGCAAAGAGAGCAAGTGAGACCGAGAAGAAAGGTGCAAGTGGAAAGAGTGAGGCTGAGAGGAAAATTGGGGAGAAAAGTGTACAAAAAGGAGAGAAAAGCAAGGGAATGAGTGAAAAAAAAAGAGGTTAAGATTGTCATGATTGCAAGATAGCAACTACTTGTACTTATGTACAAGGATGTTTACTTTTCTACTAATGACCCAAACCCCTCTTTTTCTAGTGTTGTTGTGTCTTTATTGCAGGAGTTTGATGACCTATTTCCTGAGGAGATTTCCCATGGATTACCTCCCTTAAGAGGTATTGAGCATCAAATAGACTTCATACCCGGTTCCGCCATACCAAATCGACCTGCTTATAGAGCTAATCCCGAGGAAACAAAGGAGATACAAAGGCAAGTGGATGAGTTGGTGCAAAAGGGTTTTGTAAGGGAGAGTCTTAGCCCATGTTCGGTTCTTGTCATCTTAGTCCCAAAGAAAGATGGAACATGGCGTATGTGTGTAGACTGCTGAGCCATTAACAAAATAATAGTTAAGTATAGACATCCTATCCCTAGATTAGATGATATGCTTAATGAATTGCATGGCTCTTGTTTGTTTTCTAAAATTGATTTAAAGAATGGCTATTATCAAATTCGCATGAAAGAGGGAGATGAATGGAAAACAGCATTTACAACTAAATATGGATTGTATGAGTGGTTACTAATGCCTTTTGGTTTAACTAATGCACCTAGTACATTCATGAGGTTAATGAATCATGTCTTGCGTGCTTTCATAGGGAAATTTGTGGTAATTTACTTTGATGATATTTTATTTTATAGCAAAAATTTGGATGAACATTTGAAACACTTGCATGTTGTTTTTAGTGTGTTAAGAGAGCACCAATTGTTTGCTAATCTTAAGAAGTGCACATTTTGCATGGAATCTGTTGTGTTTCTTGGATTTGTTGTTAGCTCGCAAAGTATTAGTGTTAATGAAGAGAAGGTAAAGGCAATAAGGGACTGGCCTACCCCTAAGAATGCGAACGAGGTAAGACGTTTTCATGGTTTAGCAAGTTTTTATCAAAGGTTTGTTAAGGATTTTAGTTCTATTGCTGCACCTTTGAATGAACTTGTTAAAAAKAATGTTGTTTTTAAGTGGGATTAAGTGCATGATCGAGCTTTCGAAACTTTGAAAGATAAACCAACTAATCCACCTTTGTTGTGTTTGCCTAACTTTGATAAAGCTTTTGAGGTCGAATGTGATGCATCTGGAATTGGAATAGGGGCTGTTTTGATGCAATATTCCAAACCAATTGCTTATTTTAGTGAAAAGCTAAGTGGGGCAGCCTTGAATTTTCCTACTTATGACAAGGAACATTATGCATTAGTGAGGACTCTTCAAACATGGCAGCATTAATTGTGGCAAAGGGAATTCATCATTCATTCTAATCATGAGAGCTTAAAGTTCTTGAAATCCCAACTTTCATGTTTTGAGTTTTGATATATTCGAACTGCATCGAGGTCAAAATCGGGCCCGAAGTCTAAGCAAACTCGTAGAGAAGCCCAGTTCACAATAGAAGCCCAGTTCACAGAGAAGCCTTGCAGCGGCCCAAATCGTTGAGAAAGCCCAATACGAATTTAGCATGCAAGAATAAGAATTCAGCTGAATCATCAAAGAGTTTTATTAGATTCAAATTCTTGTTGTATTTCTAAAAAGAAAAAGAAAGAGAGAGTCAGAGTCCATCTTAGTTAAGGATTTTTGTTTAGAGATAAGGGTAATATTAGATATGAATTAATCATTAGGAAATAGGACTTTCTATTTTTGAGAATGAACTCTGAAAAGGAGTTGGAAACAACCCCTCCTCCTAAAGCGATATAAAGGGGGGCAGACTAGCACCCAAGGCATCATAAAATCCTCCAAGAGAGCTTCAACCTTCGAAGAGAGCAATCAACAACTAAGGAGGAAGAAGCAGAGTTTGCCCCCTCTCATCTGGAAGCTACGATTTCATCATGAAGTGTGTGTAAGGTTTTATTTTCTAGTTGAAAGGTTAAGGAAGATTTGATTCTATAAACATTGTGAGATCTAATTGATTTTTATTTCAGTTCATTGTTTATGGGTATTCATATGTTTTCTGCGATTTCCTGTGAAGATTATATTTATTGATTAAGAAAGAAGGCACCCTTGCTCATTCAACAAGAATAATCTATGGCCGATTGAACCTCCAATTCCGTATATGATTGATAGGTTTAATCATGGTGGCAACTAACATAATTGATTATAGAAAAATTTTTGATTTTTGTTAGGAAGATATTGTTAGACAGTTTTGTATGCCCTTAGCTTCAATCAGAATGATGTACTTTATGAATTTACTGTAAATGAATAAAAGTGCATATTTGATTCATGTTCCCTTAGTATGTTTCTATGTAATACCCTTAAACTGGACACTTAATAAGACTCGTGTTAGTTTAGAATGTTCATAGCCAGTGGGTCGGTCTACGGAGATCTATCCTGACAAGGCTGACAYTGTGGTGCCACCAAGTCGGTTAGGGTGGCCTGTCTCAACTGCCAGGGTGAGACCCTAGGCACATACAGTGTAGGATTAATTGAATCTTTGAACTGGACCAGATTTCTAGTATTAACCTGGACCTTGGAGTTGATGGGCAAAACTGGAAAGTTACACCCGACCCCTAGACTCGATTATGATACTGCCCTAGGTGTCGGATTGGGTTGTCTTTGATGTACCAATCAGTGAGATCCTTAGTGGGGGTCAATTTCTGGGTATGTTGGGACAGTCCAAGAATTCATCTGAGTGGATGATCATAGTGACAGGACCAGCCCCTTTGTCGGATAAAGGTAATGATCGGGGATGCACTCTCAGTGATGGAAACCAAGACTGCCGGCAGCCAATTTC